AAAGAAAACATTTTTCAAAAAAGAATGTAAATGTAGGGATGGCTAACATCAATCCTTCAAAAACAATGCAAACAAGATCATAGGGATGGCATTTGCATCATCCCTACATAATAGCACAGGCACACAGTGATATTAGCCATCCCTACATTTACATTCTCTTCTGAAAAGTTTTTCTTTACCTTTTTTGCTTGTTTTTTTAAATGCAGTGTTTCAATAGGCACAGGAAGATTGTATTTATTTATAACCAAGTCCTAAATACAAAGAGGTCCCAACTGTAATATTTATTGTTTATCTATCACTGACTGGTAATTCCTGTTTCACCCTGTACTTAAGCTTTCTAAGGGACCCCAAATTTCTGTAAGAAAGCTAGCTTCAAGGGGTAATGATAGCATCATTTACACTTGAATTATGATTTTTTTTAATTACTAATTACTTATAAAAGGGGATATTCCATTTGAAACTATGTCACCTCAATGAATTTGGTTGACACCGTTATTTTAGTTTTACAGTTACCATGTAATAAAAAAGATGCAGAAGAAAGAAAAACAAGAAATTTAAACTTTTTGCTACGATATTTCCAGCCATTTCAGAACTTGTGACTCAGTCATTACATAGGTATTATTATAAAAAGAAACATTGTATAGTATTGTACAATTCTGATGACCTATTGAGGATATATTTAAAATAGCATTTACTTGAACAATCCGAGCCATCCCTATACAGGCAGTGCTACTGCATGCTTGACATTATTGTTGCTCACCCCTACATAGGCAGTACTACTGCCTGCCTGACGTTACTGTTTCTCACACCCGCAACAACACAGCTGCATTAACATATACCAATTGTTCCTATACAGTTTATATTTTTAGGGTGCCAATGAGCCTTCTAAACACTTGACACACCAGAAGATTATCCTAACTGACTTTATTGACCATAAAAAATTATGTATATTACTACATTTAGAACAATCGCTCTTTGTCAGATAGTCAAACAGTACTTGATGAAAAAGTCAATTGCTCAAATTGTAGCTTCTTTTCATAGTTTCCTTTCATCTGTGTGCAATATCTTTGTAAATTTATTGACAACAGAAATAAATTTTATTGTTTACCTTTATTTTATTAATCTCATTTGTCAACCTTTTGGCTTCAGCTTTGGCCTTCAGGAAAGCTAGCTTTTTTGGTCGTTTTGGAACAATTGTTTCTGTACAAACAAACAACAAATAAAAGTTACATAAAACAACAAAAATAATGCCTTTCATTATCAACCTTAAAATTTTATGACAAAACCTCACTGCTTATAAATTATTTCTTATGACAGATTGAATAACAAACAAGTGAACTGGATCAAAGTTAACTTCTCCTAAAACTTTATTTTACATGTTGGTATATAAGATATTGTAATTAAAATTCACATTGTATGACTGGACAAGTCATAATAACAGGCTTTGCTCAATTCCCCATATTCGTCAGTAATAAAAAGTCATACAGAATCCCCTACATCCATGAGACTCTTAAGGCTTTATAAGTAATAACAAGTTTTACACAATACCCTATAAGTGTAAAACTCCTGTACAGGCTTCACATTTTACACATAAAACTTTTTAATTTCTCTTTTTTCCTATCATTAATCATAATAGAATTTATACTGAGTAGTTATGAAATCTTAATAAGCTTTAACTCAATACTCAATAAACACACAAATGTTGTAAGCTTGTTCTAGTCCTTCATTAAACTGTTTCTGACCAGGCTTTTTGGACTCCCAGGAACAAAGGGAAATTAAAAAATTTGATGAAATATGAAAAATTATATAATTCATTTATTAAAAATTTTATTGAAGAAAGGACCTACCAACCGTATATATATATCATAAGATTCAGTGTAAAACACCCTTATCAAAGTACACCCCCCATATTCATCCCTGGGATTAGAAATAGTAAGCTTACTAAGATCACCCTGATGGTAAGCAAGGGATTAAATGATAACAAATTGTAATTCTTCATTCATGCAAACATGTTTTACTGAATATCGAGTAATGAAGAAAATTTAACTAACTTTATCGACCAATTTATTGGTTGTAACGAGTTTCATTCAACAATGTAATTATAAAAGCTTAAACAATAAACCACAGAGAAGACACGCCTTATGATTATCTATTTTAAAATCATACGTTCTACAAGAACTCACCCGTCGCTTCATCTGGTTTAGATGGAGAATGTTTTTTGGGTCTACCAGGCTTTCGCTTTTTTGCTGATGAAATCTCTGCATCAGATGTGTTACTTTCACTTTCACCTATATGAAATAGGTATCAACTTGTAAGGTTTCCCACAAATTAATAGCTTAAGTATTTCAGTAATTAATCTAACTTTCATATTCATGTTACAAGAAAAAAGAAATCTAACCTTGCTCTAATTTCTTTCTCAAGCTTCTATCAGGTGTAGCTGAAGAAGATCTCATTTTGGTAGGAAATGCTAAAAGATTCAAGTCCAAGCTTTCTGTGGCACATTCTACCGTTTCTAAGAAAAAATGATTATATACTTGCATATTATTTTGTATTATATACAAAATATTGGTTTCCTTATTTATTTTTTTAATACTTAGCTTTGCATAGATAAAATATTCAGCCAGAAAACAGTTTTGAATTACATATTAAAAAATAATAACTGTCAAGTAAAAGCACAACAGAGAATGCAAGTGGTAAGACTTAATGTGTACCTATTATAGGTGGATTGAAATGTGTGTGTCAATATGTTTGTCTTGTGTTTAAAAGTAAAGGAATTATCTCTTTTTGTATACAGTGTAATGAAACCTCTACTTGTGATTGGGTTCACTAATGACATTTTGAATCTCAGGGCTATTATCATAGAGATTATTATTAAATCACATAAAGGCAGTGATAACAACACTCTTGGTTTATTCATCATACTCAAAATGTTATCCATATGTTGTGTAACAAGTATGAAATGACAACTACTGTTCATTACCACTCTCATAAACTTTCCATTTACACACTGTAGCAACAACCAACATTTATATATACTTACATAATAACTAAACTGAACAAGTTTTTTGCTGCATGTTGAATTACTAATGTGGTTTTCTCATGTTGATGCTGTGGTTACATGACCCATTCTGGAAACAAGAAAACTAGCTTTCTGGTTCGTCAGTTCTTGTGAATGATAGTAATGTTAATTCAAATGAAAAAATAATAATACATAATTAAACATTTTTATCCTTCAACTAAAAATTATAATTTTCATACTGATTAATTTAAAATGTTATGCTTATGGAAAACAAGAGACAGACATTTGTATTGATGTAAATGAAGTTCTCTTCTTATTTTCACTTGACTTTTTATTTTGGTTTTTCTTTGATTTTGATGATCCTTGTTTGTTACAGGATGACTTTGCTCCTTGTTTATCTGATGAAGGAACAAAACTGTGGATGTCTTGTGGAGCTAACAAAGAAATAACATTAACTACCAGGCTGTTTATTTGACGAAGAAATGAAATAATGATATTTGCTGGTCAAATTGAAATGATATATGACCAAAGCCCAATAGGATCTTGTTTAAATGGTAAAAAAAAAAATATAACAACCATCACCATACTTATCATTTTTTAGTCTTCATTTATCATTTAGAAACATTGTACCAAAAACTTTCTCATTTTCCTTTTAAATTATTTAGTGTTAAAAGAAACAAGAGTGGAGATAAGTATTAGATAATTAAAGAAAATAAGTAAACAAAAAAGAAGTTAAATTTTTTATATTTGTTAACAAGATATTTTACATACATTTGCAAGTATAAAAATGTTCATTGTTAAAAATTGGGATTAAAAATAGTATTTGTAACAATATGATGGGGAGGGGGGGAGTCAACGAGAACAAATTACTCTCAGTTCCTTACAGATTTATTTGCTTTGTGTTTAATTATCGTTGACGATGTTTGACATATATTGACTGGTCTTCTTCAGGCTATCAGCAACTGTTAGATATAGAGATCAAATCCAGAATGTTTCACTAAAATTAGCATTTTTTCTTTATACTCTCAAAACGTTAATTTTGTTTTGCAATGTACTGGACAACAACTCTTCACTGGTTAACAGAATAAAGTCAGTAACACTCTTGTCAATACAACTATAAACACTGTATAAAAGTACTTTCAAAGACTGTATAATATTTATAATGATAGACACATGTAGAGATCAAGTTCAGTAATTCTTCAAATACAAAAGTATTACATGTTAAAATGTTGTAAGACATTAAATCCAATCAATAAGCTCATAGATTAAGAAAATTCTACTTTGAAAAAAAAAAGTATAGGAAAATATCCAGTTAAAACAAGATGACTGAAGCAAATTCTTAAATTGACTCTTAATTTCACACACAAAAAATTTGCTTTTCATAAAATTTATACAAGTTTGTTGTTTAATGTACAGATAAGTTCTATACCTGGCTCACTGATGTTAGTTTTGACTTCAGTCTTGTTCTTGTGTTTAAGAGGATCAGTAATAGCATCATCTGATGTGGAACCATCTGCAATGAAAAGAGTCTAGATATATTATAAAACTTCACTTACTTATAAATAACACAGTTAATCAATTTTTTCACAATGAATTGGGTAACACCATTTTTTTTATTCATTTCATTGACTTTATTTTCGAACACTAGCACATTCCTTGATGATAAATACAGACATATACTACATAAAAATGTACATATCTATAAAGTAATTCCCAACTGTTTATGCCTATGTTCACACACAGTACATTAACAAAAAATTTTCAAGAGCTATCAAGTGACTCAAAGAATGAAAGATTGAAGAAGGGCTCTCAGGTTTAACTAAATTTATTTACTTCTACATTGTTATTCAATACAAGAAGCCATTCTAAACAATAATTTAAAGTCAGACTTTTCACATTTACAAACTGCAGCTCTTATATGGAAGTAAAAGGGATTTTAACAGGGTCTCAGGACTGGATCCGTGAACTTGCATGAAAATTGTGGACATGTAAGGAATTATTTAAAATAATTATCTACATTTACACTTTAGATTTTATGCTGGAGCCCTCAAATGATGGACAAAGAAAATATTGGAGGCTTTCAAGATTTGCTGCATGAAAATTGGAAAGAATACATAAATAATCATTCAACACAAATACACACAACTTTTTGCCTAAGTTTCTGAAACTTTTTATGGGTAAATTAGTAATATCTAAACATTTCTTGTTAAAGGTTAACACACAAAACTTTACGTGGACTGCTCTTCAAAAGTATCAAAATGTTAGATGAACTAGAACATAGAATAGATAAAAACTACTTACAATGCTAGAGCTCATGTCTGTCAAAAAGCCATATCAATAAAACTTAACTTTTTATCCTTTTCAGTATTTTAATGTCATTATTGCTGAAGCCAATACAAACTGTCCTTCTTGTTAATAATGGATGAAAAAAGATAGACTGGTCAGCAAATAAGAATCAAGACATTTACCTTGACATAAATAAGTACAATAAATATTACTTATTACCTGATTTTATAATCATCATACCTAAAATTTGTAGGTTGTCATCTGTCTTTAGAATACTACAGCTACCTAGGATATCCCCTTCTGTTGACTGTATGGATGGTGGTTGGAGTTTCTGTGTCTGATGACAAGTTACTGTTTCCGATTTCGTTTCAACTTGTAATTTCAAAGTTGATTTTTTCTCTCTTATGTTTGACTTCTTCTTCTTTGTAATTAATTTGCTTGAAAAACTCTGTGGCACACAAAATATGTGAAATATACAGTATTTAAAATAATAATAATGGAAATACACATATGATACACATCCAGGAGTCACAAACAATAACAATAATCAATTTATCATTAAGTTTGTTTGTTTGTAGTTAAGTACAAAGTTGCACAATGACCTATCTGTGTTCTGCTTACCACAGGTATCAAAACCCGGTTCCTAGCATTGTAAGTCTGCAGACATACTGCTGTGCCACTTGGGGGCTTATTATTAAGACAATACAGAAATTATAAAATGAAAGTTGAATAACATATATAATGCATTAGTATTTTGTACTTACTTGAAAACAGAGCAGTACACCTTGTTTTACGCTAACATAAGTTTATCAATGTACGATTAAGAAATACTGTTCCAAATGTCCTTTATCACTTCCCAAAATTCAGACATGTTGTTGAGTTAAATAACATTATTTTTCCTTGGCCAAGATCAATTTATGTCTACCAAATACCTTAATTTCATATATATATATATATATATATATATATATAACACATTAATTTATTATGTGCATTGTTTGAGTATGAGAAAAATAACAATAACATTTTATAAATAAGGTTTTAATCCATCAGAATATTTTGTCAAGAAAATTTCTGTAGTCTTCAAATAAATATGAAAGAAAAAACATCTGAAGAAACTATTAAAAACTTGCTAGATTATTGGTTTGTTTCAACATCTTCTAGGCTTCCCATTAGATTTTGTTGTTCTTCCTTACAGTAGTTAGGTTTTGTCATTTTCCCACAAAACTGTAAGTTACTTCTAATGCCAATAGTTTATAACCTGCTCCATTTAATGGTATTTAAACTTTGGCTATAGCTATTTTCAAAGCTGAGCTTTGTTAGTAATTGTTCAGACCACATACCGTGTGATCATAAAACAGTGAATGAAAATTTGTTCAAATAAAACTGATGAAAGATGAGGAAAATCGTGCAAGAAATAAAACGTATATAACCGTATTCTGTATGGATGATACTTTCTTAGTAAATGTAAACCTAATGTTTGAGATGAGAGAAATATTTTAAAATACTGATATGTTGTTTATAGATGAGACTCCAAGGAGCTGCCCAGATATCTAAGTTTGAGCATTTGTTCATTATTCTTTGCAAATTACAGTAAATAAATGTTACAACATTACAAAATAGCAATTTAAAAATGTTTTTGAGTTATACGTGTTGCAAAATATAGTTAGAGTTATTTTTACTTCAATTTTGAAATTGATATGAAGGTGTGCAATAAGTTTTGATAGAGTTAATAATATTCAATGTGGGGACTTTTGATCACTAAGCAATGGTTTCAAGTGTTCATGTGCCTTTTTATTTCTTTCGTATAATATCACCAGATTTGCTGCATTCTTGGGATCAATGGATCACTATCCTTCTCAAAAATAAATCCTTGTCCAACAGGTCTTGTTTTTGTGGGACTGACATGATTGATAAGATTCTGTTAGTACCTGTCAGCAGCCAGGGGTGTCATACATTTTGTGTAGATTTCCAATGCCAATGGCTGAGATATAGCCCACACTTTTGTTGGTCTCCCGGCATGTTTCACTCTAGATGTTGTACATTAGCCATGATTCTGTTCCCCTCTCTGCCATAAAATAAACTATCATTAATTGTTGCTAAATAATTTGAATTTGGATTCATCAGTACATAGCACTCTCCTCTTGCTTATTTGAAGACTGATGTTTTGGTTTGGTTATCTATAGAAAGCAATGATTTTTGAGATGCTACAGATCCATTAACCATAAAGGCCAATTTGTGTTAATGTGTATCTTATTGTTCTGAAGGTAACGTTCACATCTTTATTTCCAGCTAAATCAAAGGCAAGATCTGTACTGGATTGTCGTGTATCACATAAAGAGCATACCCCGAGTTACATAACATCACTTTTGAATAATTTAGACTTTCCACTTCAACTGCTTCTATTATCAGCAGTACTAGTTTCATTAACTTCTTCAAAACTACCACATCACTACTATTGAAACAATAAATTTTGCCTCGGTCTATTATGTAGATTAGCCTTCACCAGCTAAAACTTTCTATGTATTTCGTAATGTGGCATTTCTGTCCAGGGAGCCATGAGTGCATTTTCCACACTACTGCTGAGAACACAACGACTGCCTGTATTGTTATGGACATTAAGCTGATGTTATACTACCTTACTGGTTGGATGACAGCCAATCATAGTGTAAAATATAAACACCCAAATACAGTCTAATGCAGTTCATTTTTACACAACAGAGAAGGGGAGGGATTCCATAATATTTGCATTTTATACACTGTTTCCATAATTATTTCTAATATTGTACATTTACGTACATGCCAGTATTTATATTACTTTTGTGCAGGTTTTATTTATAGAAACATTGAGGTTACTCTACCTTTCAAGTTAGAATTAGCACTTTAGTTATTTAGTTACATACACAATACTGTGAAACATTTCCTCATGCTGGATGACAAATCTCATATGACTGGCTGAGAACTACAGCTCTGAGCTACAACAGTTCTAATCAGCCTAAACTGGTTAATAATTAGGGCTGACACCACTGTGTGAATAAGGGTTTCTTGTTCATCAAAACCTGTTGCCACTCTTCCACCTCCTTGCGAATTGATGATCATATTCTTCATGTTGGCAGATTTATGGATTGTTGTAGGTGGAAGGCAGTTTTCAGAATTGGTAATTAGTAAATTAGAGTAATTTTATGAAGTTAACTAAAGGTTGTTATGACCGCCTTTTGTAAGTAGTCTTGTATGGACTGGGTAATTTCTGTATATGTTTTTTTTTCTTAAGTTAAGAGGTGTAGTCTGTAAAGAACCTTCTTAGAATAGATATTAGTAATTCTAACTATTCAGTACACCTGACAACAATCAGTCAGTAATTCTAACTACACAGTACACCTGACAATGATTACTCAATAATCCTAAATATATAGTACACCTGATAATTATCATTCAGTAATCCTAACTATGCAGTACACCAGACAATAATCAGTCATTAATTGTAACTATGCACTACACTTGCCAATGATAAGTCAGTTTGGTTATTCTTTGACTGTCATACTTAGTTTTATACATCATCTTGTAGTTATAATGAGACTGACCTACTTTCATGTTTTTGTTTCTAAACATCTCACCACATTCCTTTCCTTCACATCCATGCCACCTCATGTAATTCACAGTTCTGTCTGTATCTTGTCCAGTGAGCCACTGACACCAGATTATTAATGTGATCAACATAGATGCATTATCAAGAATAATTGGGATAGTGTAAACTGTAAAATGAGCTACATTCTTTTAACACAAGTACATACATAATCCTAAATGTGAAGCATAAAAGTAGTCCAGGAACTTTGCATTTCTTGATCACTTTCCTATCACAACAATAGCTGATGAATGTAAGTGTTTTCTAGCAGTAAGATGTATGCTTTAAAACTAGATGAAAGTTTACTAGCAGCTAAGTTATGCAAACATTGAAATTCAGGTGTTATAAACAGTACTACTATTATGGTCCTCACCTTTGCAGATAACCTGTTTTGTTTGATCTTCTTTATTATTTGACTTCTTTTCAAATTAGTTCCACTTCCAGTGACAGAACGCTTCTTTTTCTTTCTAGGTGTCTTTGGTGATTCAATAGAAGTCTCTGATACAGGAACTATAGAAGAGGTGGAAGGATGGAGAGATGGAGATGGTGAAGGTGCAAGCAGTTCTGGAATAGATTCTGATGAACTGTCCCCAAATGTTACAGGAGAGGTTTTTAAGGTATTTTGTTGTCGTAACATTAATGGCCTTTTCCGTGGACGTCCCGGTCGTCTTTTGACAGGAACGGTTTCTGGTTCTCTAAAAACAAATTTCTAGTTATAAGTACGTATTTATGATCTGAAAAGATTTTTTAACTGCTTCACTGTAAAGTAGAAACTACAAAATTACACACGACAAAAATGATAAATAGTTGTATAGAAAAAATAAAATAAATATCTTACTCTTCTGCACAAATTTGTATTATTCACATTTTATGTAATTCACCCCCTCCCATAAATCAACACCTACAATTCTGACCAAAAATCTGAAATTTTAACTCAATGTTTCAAGTGACTTTTAAATGATACTTTTTTTATTCAATGCTGCGTAATTAATACAGAACAATATGAAAAGAGCAGCATAGTTATTCCAGCTTGCCAAGACTAATTCTGATTGTGCAAGAAAATTTGATTCCTCATCAACGAGTGTATGTAGGATAAGATGAAACAGGAAGAAAAACTCAATAAAATTCATCTGCAACAAAAAATTAACCTTCCAATTCATACAATTATAAAATTTGGCATGGCTTGCTAAATATCTGCTAAGCTCCCAAACTATCAGTATTTGTTTGTTTCATAATCTTCCCACAAAATTATACAAGGACTATTTGTGCATAGCCATACCTAATTTTGAACTAATAAACTAGAGGAAAAGCAGTTTATCAATAGCACCCAATGGTGGAGTTTTACCTTCATGCTTATAGTGAACACTTTTGCATAAATGGGCCAAGAACCATGAAACTCTACTTGCAATAAATAAAGGTACTGTCACCTACAGCACAGGATACATAAGGTGGCAAAATATTTTATTTTTGTTCTTTAATAGGTGAAGGGCTATTAACTATTTTATCAGATAAAATGGTCATAAGAATGCTTTTAATGGGCATACAATGTATTCTATTTGAAGCCTAAAAAAACTTTTAGTTATATAAAACATACCAAACCACATTAGCTCAAATTGAAGACTAAGTTATTAAATAACTCACTCTTTTTCTTTCTTTGGTTGTAGTTTAGCCAATTCTTTCTGTTTTAATCTGTATTTCTTCTGGAGTTCTGCTAACTGTAGCTTCATCTCTAATTCAGTAGCATCCATTGTTTCAGGGACATCGTCAGGATGGACTGGACTGGTCAAAACATAAAAAGGTGATGAAGATTTGCTACTGAAAGCATACACTTGTGATGGACTTTTAGAGTCAGGACTATAGATCTGTTTCATGGATTCTTCATCATGATTTAAACTCAAGTTCAGCCCTGTCTCTGGAAGCTGTGAACACAAAGTTTCTTCCAAGAACCGCTGTTCTGCAAGTGCACACAGTAAACCTAAACCATCAGTACAAGATGGATCAATGTTGCTTGACAAAGGCTTTGACTGCAAATAAGCAGCATCTGCAACTGGATTAATAGAGTCATTGACTTTACCATTTTCATTCACTGACTCACTGCCATTTTTACTGGACTCATCACTCGAGCTCTCTGACAGTCGCTTTCTCATTTCCAGAGTATTCTCTTTTTGTTCACGTGAAGCAAACTCTTCAATACTATCTACCAATAAGTTTAATCCATGATGATCAATAAAGTCCATGACAGGTTGGCTCTCTGCTGATAGAACAGGTGCAGAATGCACTTCCAAAACCTCAACATCACCCAAAGCCTGCTTATGATATGAATGACTCTCAAAATCATTACTATTGGTAGTGCATGAGTTTTCTACAGGAATAGGTGCAGAAGACTGGGGTATATCACATGATTCATCTTCTCCACTAGTTGAACAATCCTTTACTATACCCACCATAACACTCTCAGTCTGGTTAGCAGAATCTGTAACCTCCACCGCATGTTCATCTACATCAGTATCATCTGAATTTGTTTGAGCATCCATATCTACCTGGATTGCTGCTGTAACACTCAAGGTCTGATTATTTACTTCCACTTCAGTTCTGTACTGACTAACTTCACCCTCCCCTTCTTCACCATTGTCTCCACTGTCTTCTCCTGATGCATGAACATCTTGCTCAGAGCTGGAAAGCAAGGGAGGTGATGGAGTAACAGGATTCATTGGAGACGTTCCTTGGGACCGTTTTCCTGGCTCCGTCTGGATAGCAGTTGTTGACTGGGTTTGAGTCAGATGAACAATGGTGGAAGCCTCATAAAAATATGAAAGGGCTGCTGGAGCTGAAGGCTGAGGGAATGCTGGATACGGAACTGATGAACTGGAACCAAGAGGCTGGGGTGTGATTGCAGATAGTTTCTCTCCTCTCTTATCTGTGCCATGTTCATCTTGGTAGATGTTTTGTGATGAATCATCTGTTTCTTCATCTTCTAAGATTCTTCCTGTAGGAATGCAGTTGTTGGACAGAGATAGATTTTGTGTTGTTTGATGCTTTAACTGGTCCTCCTAAAACCCACAAAATACATGTACTGCTAATATAGTTTACTATATAATGAATCAGCTTATACAGTTCATTCTTAGAAGTTAGACAAAATTTTGTGTTACAATATATACATTGCATCTGCTCGTAAAATTAAATTTCCTATTGGTAAGATACTTTCTTCTTACTAACTTTGATGTGATGGCATTAAGAGTCAGTAGGTTTATTAAGGCCACTTTGCTGTACAAGATTCATTACTGTATAAAGCATTCATAACAATAAACAGTTCCAATATTCTTTCCAATGAAAATCAACAAATTGCATTTTCCCTCTACTAAAAATATTTAAAACAATCTTCACTTTCAAATTTTCATTTACTCACTATTTTATGAATACCTAAAACATATATCACTGATAAAACTCTCTTTTTTGGTTAAAAAAACAAAAACAAAATGCCAGTTTCGACAAATGATCATTTACATCAAGCCCCTTACATTATAGCTGAATAAATTACCTTCCTTCCACTTAACTATCATCACAAAAAGTTTAATAATATGAAATGCATATGAAGTTTACTAATGGAAAGAGTTATTTACCTCTTGCATGAGTTGAGGTTGAAATGGTGCTTGTTGTGGCTGAGTTGCAAACACCTGTTGTACTGTTGTGCCACTAGGGGGGCCAGAGTAGCCTGTCCAAATGTCAGATTGGTCAACGATTTCTAAAAATCAGATTGGTATCAGCACATGGAAATAACACTTTGTTTACAGTATTATTGTATACAAATATCATGCTTCTTCTTCTGACTCTTAAAGATGTAAACAGACCAGAAACAAAAACAAAAAAAAGAAAGGCAGGTGTCTATAAATGCATCTTCAACATATTAATTACAATGTCTAAGAAACTTTGAAAAAATATTTAACACTTTTCTTAATCACAAATGAAGAATGGCAAAATTATTAAATTCAACAAATCACAAAAACTTTGTGATATTATGATATTAGTTATTCTGTAATAACCTTAAAAAATATAAATGAAAAACTTTTCTGATATGGGAATTTACTATAGAACACGCACATTTACCTACACTATAATTACATTTAATATTTCAATCTCTTTATAAAAAGTTACATCTTTATGCAGAAACAAAACAACAAATTTAAGACCCAAACTATTAAACATTTTCACATATCTTCCTATTTGTATGAATTCTTGGGAAGTATGAAAGAAGAAACATACATATATAAGGACAATTACAGAAATATTTTGAAAAGTATTTTAAAATTAAAGGGAAAACTTGTAGTATATATTTGTTTCAGGTGGTTAATATATGATACATTAAAACTTACCAACATTTGCTGTTGGCAGAAGGAAAATCTGATTTGTTAGTGGATCTCTGTACACTTGGTAACCACCAGGTGGTATGGGTACATGAGAAGAATCTATAGGATAAGGAACAGCTGTTGGAGGTGGAGGTTGTTGGGCTGGAGTAGGGTTATACATGTTCTGACTAAGCCAGACTGTAGGACCCATAACTGGACTTGGGGTAACCCACTGTTGGGGTAATGGTGTAGGCAAAACAGAATCCTGCTCCCAGTGAGTGACTGTAGGATTCACATCTGCAATAGTAAAAAAAATCTCTTGTGTAAAATGCAAGCAATACAAACTGAATTAACAACAAAGCTACTGCACTAAGTAATATATTGACTATGAAGAATCAAATGGTGAAATAGATTCTGATATAATGTTATATTGCATTTTTATGCTACAACATTATCTATGTATCTTTGTTAAGCACTACGCAGAAAATACTGCATAAAATGAAGTGATCTTTACATAACATTAAACTTAGTTGAATGGTAATCGCTCATAAAATTAATTTTCTTCTATTATAAATGAACCATAAGTTACAAAAGAGCCATTTTTTTATTTCATATATTTTTAAAATTGTTTAAATAGATTAAAAAATAAAATGTAGTCTACTTTAAAAAAAATTATTCCAAAATAACAAATTGAAAAATTCTGAATGTCAAAATTGGAACATTTTCATCATGCTCATTACACATTAAAAATAATAATAAAACAGAATCAATTTGAAACTTCACCTAATTATATGACTAAATTAAATGATATTAAAAAAGTCAAGATTTCTTATACTTGTAGGAATCTCAATCTAGCATAGCCAATCAGTAAGGATTTCAATAATAAGACAATTTTTTACTTTAAATAAGATATGAAGACAATTTTGACGGATTAAATAAGCTTTTCAAAACTAAACTTTAGATTGGTCATTCTAAATTGATAATTCTATTATTGCATTGTTACAACTTTTTCTCTCTCCACTCTATTCTACTTTAAACACACTGCTCAACAAAAAGAACCAGGAAAAAATTCTACATATATGTCTTTTCATAACAGTATGTTGAAACTAACACAAACTTATTTATATTTGCTTGTCATCAGTATCAAATAATGTAGGGACTTTCATGTTAGTAAATTCATCCCAATGTGTTTGTTTACACAGTCACAAATCTTGATAAAAATCATTAAAAAAAGAAAAAAATCAAGTTTTTTTTTATAAGCAAGTAAAAGTATAATCAACAACAGCTCAAAATGTTTAATCAACAATAGGAGAAAATGTTTAATAATTTCAAGCATTTATAATAACCAACCAGTGAAATAACTACAAACAACAGACAAAAGAATAATTTCTAACATTCACTGCAGTTTCTTTGTGGAAGTTTCAGTGTACAAAGTTAGGCACATGCATTTTATCTAATTGTTTTATGAAGATTAACACATATGTTTAACCTAATGTATTATTATATTTTAATTAAACACTAAATACCTTGACTCAATATGCATGTGGTACTATTATTCAAGTTTATTGCAGGAGGGTGTTGTATTGTTGACCCTGAAGATACTTCTTTTGGCCCTCTACAAAAAATAATATTATTCTTATAAGCAAAGAATTGTCA